GGTCTGGGGGGTCTGAAATAAAAAAAGAGTGTTGGCCGATCAATTGCTGGGGGTCCGACCCAGTTCGTGACTCTGATTTAAAGTGTTGATACGACACACGCGAGCAGCTTACTGTAGAGGGGCACAGAAGCAAAGATCCACACATTCCAAACCTTTACAGCTGACTGGCTCCTGCTGTTTTATTCCGGGGACCCATTCAATCAGAAGCTGGTGAGAAAGAGGAAACAGTATACCCCGACGAGAAATACAGCCCTGCTCGTCCAGTCTGTAGCCCGTTGCTTTACTGACTCAGCAATCGCTGCTTATGTACTTTGGAAGAATTAACAGAGGTCTACTCTCCTCGCCCTAGTCTAAAATAATAATTGTACGATTGCAAAAATCCAATTTTCACCAGGAGTGAACGATATATTTATTACGTATATATGATTCGGTTTAATGTTTTAAGTATTAGTTAAGGTCAAGTTCCTACTAAGACAAATCTTAATCTTTTGAAATATACATTTATTTCAGACTTAGGTTTATATTTATAGACTAACGTACATTTATCTTGGATAATGTTAAGAACCTGTAAATTTAAAACAAATATGACTTAGACATGCAAACATCCCTCTGACGGTGGTTCCATATGCAAACCACTGTGCCAATAGAGAAGAAACATATAACAAAGGTGCTTTCCCAGCTATACCACTAACCATCAAAACATTGTCGATTGTGATCTTGTGGACTGTCATAACCATATAGTGCAATGCCAATGTTTCTCCAAAACGTTGGTATTTTATTTATTTAGTGTTCTGTCTGACGACAGGTCCATATGAACAGGATCCTTCCATCCTTTTCTCGGACTGGGACCTGTTCATATACGTTCTTGGCAGATGATCCAGAAGGGGTTTGCCATTGCCTTCTTCTGTGTGTAAATGGAGTAATTGTTGGGATGCCACAGAGAAACCGGGGAAGCCCCCGGAGGAAAACTCCGTGTTGCCTAGACCACCTCATATGAGCAGGATCCTTCCATCCTTTTCTCGGTCTGGGACCTGTTCATATACGTTCTTTGCAGATGATCCAGAAGTGGTTTGCCGTTGCCTTCTTCTGTGTGTGAATGGAGTAATTGTTGGGATGCCACGGAGAAACTGGGGAAGCCCCCGGAGGAAATCTCCGTGTTGCCTAGACCACGGCCTTGCCCAACACAAGTTATAAATTCGAACCCGAGACCCCAGGATTACAAGGCCAGCGTTCTAACCGCTAGACCATCGTGGCTTGTTACAAAGCAACTATGGAATTGTAATATATTAGAACGTATCTGTAAGATACTCCAGTGTGGAGTAGATAAGCTAATTAAAATTTCAGAAGCCAGCTAAAATGTCTGTGCTCTAAGAACGATGCGGTTACTAAAGTCGCTAAGCTCAGTACAAGATAAAATGAAAGTTTCTCCTGATGGTGGATTTTTTTAGCATAGTTGTAGTTTGTATTTCGCTACAGTATTCGTGAAAGTGCGTTAATAAGAAGGAATTATTATTCTGCATATTCTGTACTCGTGGTTGGTGACTGTGCGTGTCCACTGCGCATTATGTATCACGTTTAGACAATTAATGTAACCTTTTGTATCGAGAGTTCAGGAACCACATTAAGGACTGTAAATGACGTGCTACATAAACACATTTTATAATGGAACTGTGAAGACGCCTATTTTTTCCTTCAGGGTTCTCTCCCATGCAGTCTTGTAGCTGGGGTCTCGGGTTCGATTCCCGGCGGTGCCCGAATTTATAACTTGTGTTGGGCAAGGCCGTGGTCTAGGCAACACGGAGTTTTCCTCCGTGGCATCCCAACAATTACTCCATTCACACACAGAAGAAGGCAATGGCAAACCACTTCTGGATCATCTGCCAAGAACGTATATGAACAGGTCCCAGTCCGAGAAAAGGATGGAAGGATCCTGTTCATATGGACCTGTCGCCAGACAGAACACTAAATAAAAAATAAAAGTTACTTTGTAAATAGAACAAAAGGCGGAAACAGACAGACAATGAAAGAAACTTAATTCTAGTTAAATGCTTATAATCTGGGAAGTGTTCCTACACAAAAGCGAAAGGAAGAACTGTGAACCGGATGAAAGAATTGGTAATGCCTTGCGGGGAGATACGCACATAAAGTTCGCAGAAAGACAATAAATAATCTGTACTATTGTGTCAGGCTTTCGCCAATTTCTCTTTGTGTTTCAAGCTTGGATACGCTTCTACACAGAGATACCCTTAATGGAACCCAAGAAGTTGCAGGTTTCGCCTAGCATTGTTTTCTCCCGCGATTTTTCACTGTTTCCTTCAGTCTCTGCTCGAGGTTAGAAATTACACCTCAGTTTCACTGAATACCGTCGCCATTTTCAGAAATACGGAAGGAAGGTCACTAAGAAATCTATTTGTTTACATAAGCAGTGAGTGCTCATAGCACACCACAAATGTGTAATCACACGCCGAGTCTGAAATAATACCTCAGGAAAGCAAGATTTCAGAAAATGGGTTTGAAGTATAAGGTCATCAGGGCGATGACCCTGATGACGGAGGCAGTATGACCTCTGAAACG